TTTTTTTTCAAAAGAAAAAAGTAGTCCTCAGAGGACTCGATTTTTTTTTCAGTAGAAAAAAATATACTTAATGTCCAAAGGTCCTGAGAAATTTCCCATAAATTTAATTGATACCATAAATCTCCCACCTGTCAACCATTAAATGTAGGCCACTTTAACACTTCCTAGAGACAATAACAACCAGAATCGCTTAACCAAAATGCCAGAAGGAATGGATGCTTGTGTGTGTGTGCACCTCCGAATCAGATGACTTATGGCATAATCGCATTAATTAAGATTAATGTTCGGTAGTTGAAACTTAAATATTTGACAGTTTCGTACAACATTGCTGGTGATACTATTGTTGTTGTTGCTGCTGCTGAAAAGTCCTTCTCAAGAGTTAATGAAACCTTCCATCAATTCACTTCATGCTTTGCCTGTCTGTCTGCCTTCCATTCGCTCATTTAGCTTCTTATCACTGCGCTACCAACCACCATCACCACCACCACCAGTAATTTTTGACCTCTGGTGACAAATACCTGATAATGTAAGACTTCACATCGTCGATGTTAAGCTAGTGACGGTAGAGATTTTTTTGTTTTTGTTTCTGGGTTTCAGAAGCTGACACAAAAACATTTTAGTCATTAACTTTGCGAAACTGTCATTTGTCACGACGACGAAGGCACGACTTGAGAATTGAAACGAGATCACAATAAAAATGTTTAGAGCTGCTGACAAAAACAGAAACGATTTTGGAGGATAATTTTTTCTATAGAAAAACAATCGTCAGGACCCTGAGGATAATTTTTTTCTATAGAAAAAAATTCGACAGGACCCTGAGGATAATTTTTTTCTATAGAAAAAAAATCGTCAGGACCCCGAGGATAATTTTTTCTACAGAAAAAAATTCGTCAGGACCCTGAGGATAATTTTTTCTATAGAAAAAATTCGTCAGGACCCTGAGGATAATTTTTTTCTATAGAAAAAAATTCGTCAAGACCATGAGGATAATTTTTTTCTATAGAAAAAAATTCGTCAGGACCCTGAGGATAATTTTTTTCTATAGAAAAAAATTCGTCAGGACCTCTGCTCCAATATTTTTTTCGTCAGGACCCTTGTGGTCCATTTTTTTTGCTATAGAAAAAAAATCGTCAGGACCCTTGTGGTCCATTTTTTTTGCTATAGAAAAAAAATCGTCAGGACCCTTGTGGTCCATTTTTTTTCTATAGAAAAAAAATCGTCAGGACCCTGAGGATAATTTTTTTCTATAGAAAGAAATTCGTCAGGACCCTGAGGATAATTTTTTTCTATAGAAAAAAATTCATCAGGACCCTAAGGATAATTTTTTTCTATAGAAAAAAATTCGTCAGGACCCTGAGGATAATTTTTTCTATAGAAAAAAATTCGTCAGGACCCTGAGGATAATTTTTTTCTATAGAAAAAAATTCGTCAGGAACCTGAGGATAATTTTTTTCTATAGAAAAAAATTCGTCAGGACCCTGAGGATAATTTTTTTTCTATAGAAATAAATTCGTCAGGACCCTGAGGATAATTTTTTTCTATAGAAAAAAATTCGCCAGGACCCTGAGGATAATTTTTTCTATACAAAAAAACTCGCCAGGACGCTGAAAACAAATGTTCATATCCCTCGTCACTGTCACATGTGATGAGTACTATCATTACATGGCGTTTTTAAGCTTATTATTAGTTTCTATAGCTATAATGAACTCCCATAAGACACACGAACGCACAGATAAAATATCCACAAAATGCAGACTCAGTGCTGGTACTTGCTTGGAGGGATTTGAAAATGTTTTTCTTTGTGTTCGGAAGAATAGAAAAAACGTTGATGGCGAATAAAGGGGTGAGGGACATGGGACATTAAAATTGTTGATTTTGGTGGCACTTGAACACCACTTGCCACAGATTGGTGTCATTAATGAACGCTGTAATCTACGAAGTCAAGTGCATTTAAGTCAGGGTATTGTTAACTCAGAAGCCATGAGAAGTGGGGACAATCGAAAATTTAATGAAACGATAATTCGTTTTTAAATCATTCATTAACAACTTAATTAAGCTAATCATTAAGACCGAAGACCACTGTAAATGTTGTGGGGTGGGTGATTTCAGATTTCAAAAGGGCACCACAACTCATAGTCAATAATTCGTGGAACAGGGCAGTGGGAGAAATACTATTTGATGATATTCTGAAGGCCAAGGGAATTGATTTTGTATGCAATAAAAAAAATTAATGAAACCTATTTCATATAATTTGTTACTAACATGATATTTTTTTCTTTTGTAGGATATTGAAATCTGGGCAAAGAGGTAAGTTCAATTTTTTTGTTTATTCATTTAGAAAAACACTAACAGTGTGTTGACGAAATTATTTTTTTACAGAAAGGGCCTCAGGGGACCAGAGGAATTATTTTCTATAGAAAGAACAGAGTCCTCAGGGAACTTGAGGCATATTTTTCTGTAGAAATACAGACCTCAGGGGACGTTAGAAAAACACCTCAGGTGACCGGAATTTTTTCAGGTGACCTGAGGTATAGAAAAACAGACCTGAGGAATTTGTTTCTATAGAAAAAAGTGTCCACAGGGACCTTCGGAATTTTTTGCTATGTATAAAATGTCCTGTCGAATTTTTATACTCTTCACCACACTGTGGTACAGGGTATTATTTTTTTGTGCATATGTTTGTAACAGGCAAAAGGAAACGAGGTAGACACATGGTTCCTTTTGAGAATATGCATAGAATCACTTTTTAAGTCGATGTATGCATGTCCGTCCGTCTGTCCATGTCAAATTGTAAACAAAGTACAGGTCGCATTTATGATCCGAATTGGATGAAATTTGGCATATGTCACTTATTTCCGCCAAGGACGAACCCTATTGAGAGTGGGTAAAATCGGTTCAGATTAAGATATAGCTCCCATATATATATTCGTCCGATTTAAGGTAAATAGTGCGCCAAAGTCCCTATATATCATTCGATTTGCACAAAATTTGGAATAGAGTACTGAATTAGGTCCAGAATGATGTGTGCTAATTTTCGTGAAAATCGGTTCAGATTTAGATATACCTCTCATATATATTTTCGTCCGATTTAATATAAATGGTGCACCAAAGGCCCTATATATGTTTCGAATTGCAAGAAATTTGGCATAGCGTAATGAATTAGGTCCAGAATAAAGTGTGTTAAGTTTCTTGAAAATCGGTTTAGATTTAGATATAGCTGCTATATATATTTTCGTCCGATTTAAGGTAAACGGTGTACAAAAGTCCCTATATATCATTCGATTTGCACGAAATTTGGCATAGGGTACTGTATTAGGTCCAGAATGATGTGTGCTAAGTTTCGTGAAAATCGGTTCAGATTTAGTTATAGCTCCCATATATATTTTCGTCCGATTTAATGTAAATGGTGCACCAAAGGCCCTATATATGTTTCGATTTGCAAGAAATTTGGCAAGCGTAATGAAGTAGGCCCAGAATTATGTGTGTTAAGTTTCATGAAAATCGGTTCCGATTTAGATATAGCTCCCATATATATTTTCATCCGATTTAAGGTAAATGGTGTACCAAAGTCAATATATATCCTTCGACTTGCACGAGATTTGGCATAGGGTACTGTATTAGGTTCAGAATGATGTGTGCTAAGTTTCTTGAAAATCGGTTCAGATTTAGATATTGCTCCCATATATATTTTCGTCCGATTTTATGTAAATGGTGTACCAAAGTCCCTATATATCTTTCGATTTGCGCGAAATTTAGCACAGCGTAATGAATTAGGTCTAGAATGATGTGAGTTAAGTTTCATGAAAATCGGTTCAGATTTAGATATAGCTCCCATATATATTTTCGTCCGATTTAGAATAGGTGGCAGAATGACATGTGTTGGGATTTATGTTAGTCGGTTTATTTGTAGATAAAGATCGCAAATTTAAGATCGTTCTATTTCATGTCATTGTTCCTTCGAAAAGGCGACGTCTATTAGGATACATATAACCAAAGTGGCGAAGGGTATTATATAGTCGGCCAAGTCCGACTTTACTACTTTCTTACTGGTTTTATATTAAAAAAGTTTCCTCGGGGACCTCCGGAAGTTTTTTTTTATTGAAAAGTGTTCTCAGGGACTTTGGAAGTTTTTTTTAAGGGTAAAAAGTGCCCTCAGGCACCTGTCGGATTTTCTTTCAATTGAAAAAGGTCTCCTCAGTAACGTTTCGGATTTTTTCTATTGGAAAAAACTGTCCTCTGGGTCATGACGAATTTTTGTGGTACCTCAGGGTCCTTTGGAATTTTTTTCTGTAAAAGAGACCTCAAGGTCCTTCGGATTTTTTTCTATAGAAAAGAGACTTCAGGGTCCTTCGGAATTTTTTTCTATAGAAAAAAGAGACCTCAGGGTCGTTCGGAATTTTTTTCCATAGAAAAAAGAGACCTCAGTGTCCTTCGGAATTTTTTTCTATAAAAAAAAGAGACCTCAGGTTCCTTCGGAATTTTTTCCTATAGAAAAAAGAGACTTCAGGGTCCTTCGGAATTTTTTCCTATAGAAAAAAGAGACCTCAGGGTCCTTCGGAATTTTTTCTATAGAAAAAAGAGACCTCAGGGTCCTTCGGAATTTTTTCTATAGAAAAAATTTTGGATTTTTTCTCTATAGAAAAAGGGGACCTAAGGGTCCTTCGGAATTGTTTCTATAGAAAAAAGAGACTTCAGGGTCCTTCGGAATTTTTTCCTATAGAAAAAAGAGACCTCAGGGTCCTCCGGAATTTTTTCTATAAAAAAGAGACCTCAGGGTCCTTCGAATTTGTTCCTATAGAAACAGAGACTTCAGGGTCCTTTGGATTGTTTTTCTATAGAAAAAAGTGTCCTCATGACCTGTATGATCTTTTTGTGGAAAAAAGTGCCCTCAGAAACCTTAAGAATTATTTTCGAGACAAAAAAATTCGGTCGTGCCGAACTTAAAGACATTGTTACTGCTATTAAATATTCATTGAAACAAAAAAATCATCCAAACTTACCTCTGATATTTAAGCATGACCCGAGGTAACAGGAAATTCCCATCAGCCGAGGTTGCAGCCGCATTGGAGTTGTTGGTGGCACCCATATGACCGTTGATACCCACCTGTGTTGTTGCTTCATTTGAACTAACCCCTCCAGTGGCAATATTTGGTGATTCAAGACTATCCACAGCCATTGATGATGGTCCTGCTCCCGCTGCAGCTGCTGCAGATGATGTTGTTGATGATGCTGAAGAAGAGCAACATTTGGCTTTAGGCCTTGCCGAGGGTGACGAGGAGGCAGATGAGGATATACCCGATGATGACACTTTCAAGTGTTTAATATCATCCTCCTCATCATCATCGTCGTCGGCAAACGATGAAGAGGTCGATGTTGTGGACAGTGACGAAGAGGCTGAATTATGGTGGTGGTTACTTGCTTTGTGGTCCCCGGCGCTGTGGACATTTGTGGAATTGACATTTATCCCACCGAAGAGGGCAACACCGAAACGTTGCAGATATGAGCTGTGTTTGCCGCTGACGTTGCCTGGATGCTTCGAGGCCAGGCCCCCGCCACCACCATGGCTGCTGAGATGTGAATGTTTATCGACTATGAAATTATCACTACTTGTTGAGGAGATTTTGTTGTGGGTGGTGATGGTGGGGGTATGGGGATGATGTTGCTGTTTGGAGCTGACATAGCCAAAGCTAGGCTGCTGCAGCCCTGATTGTGATGAGGATGCTGATGCTGACGGTGGTAAATGCTGTCTGGTTGTTTGACTTGAATGTAGTGGCAGTTGTTGTTGAGTTTTAGACTTCAAATGCTGTTGTTGACTATTTGTTGTTGTTGTTGACTTGGAATGGCCTCGGCCATCCTTCTTCACATTGTTGTGTCCCTCCCCCTCCTCATCGTCGTCTTCATCATAGGGTAAAACTTCAATTGCATCGAAGTCATAGGAATTGAAATAGGCATGTTCACGGGTCCGCTTCACTTTGGCTGCCTCCGAGGTGTGATTATCGATTTCCGATGTGGCATGGCTACCCGATACTGTGGGTGGGGTTTTGTGATAAATTGGCATTACGCTGACAGCTTAACAAAATTTTTAAAGGACAACGAAGTGAATTTTTAAAAACAATTTTTGAGAGTCGGTTTTTTTCTGGTTACAGATTACAAGGCATCGATGTTGGGTTGAGTTGATGGTTCCGCTTACCTCTTTGTATGTGAAAATGTTGTTCGTTATTGTTTTTCTGTTGCCACTTCGTGAGGGTCTCTTAGTTTCGCATTAGTTGATCTGCAATGAAAGAAAGAGTTGTTGTTGTTTTCGTTAATTATTTGTTGTTGTTTTTGTTGTTTTAATTACAAAAAATGCATTTCTTATTTAATAGCCGTTTTGTATTCAATAAAGAATGACTCAATACCACAGCGAAATGAAAACTCTGCGCTTGGCTAATAAATCTTGACTTGGTTCGGTTCGTTGTCTGGCTTTCGATTTTGCAACATGGGAAAGTTGGATCGGACCAGCAGCATTACAACTACTGCGGTCAGCAATTGTTACCGGTGATTTATTAGCACATTGTTGTTGTTACTGTAATAATTAAGATTGGGTAATGAGACTCAATTCCATACCGTAAAAAAGTCTCCAAAGACTGCTGCGGATTTTTTAAAGCCATCTCAGGGAACCGTCGGAAGTTTTTTCTATAGAAAAAAGTCACTACAGGAACCTGTTGGAATTTTTATTCTATAAAAAAAGTCACATCAGGAACCTGTCGGAATTTTTTTCTATAGAATAAAGTCAAATCAGGGACCTGAGGCATATTTTTCTATAGAAAAAGTCAACTCAGGGATCTGAGGCATATGTTTTCTTTAGAAAAAAGTTACCTGTAGAATTTTTTTTGTAGAAAAACGGTCCTAAGGAACCTGTCTGATTTTTTCTTTAGAAAAACAGTCCTCAGGGACCTGTCGAAATTTTTTTTATAGAAAAAATTGTCCTGTCGGAATTTTTTTATAGAAAAACTTGTCCTGTCGGAATTTTTTTTATAGAAAAAATTGTCCTGTCGGAATTTTTTTATAGAAAAAATTGTCCTCTGGGACCTGACGCATATTTTTTTCTATAGACACCTCAGACGAGCCTGAGGAATTTTTTTCTATAAAAAAATAACACCTCAGACAAGCTTGAGGATTTTTTTTATAGAAAAAATACACCTCAGGGACCAGCGGAATTTTTTTCTATAGAAAAAAGACACCTCAGGGACCTGAGGATTTTTTTCTATAGAATAAAGACACGTCAGGGACATAAGGATTATTTTTTCTATAGAAAAAAGACAACTCAGGGACCTGAGGAATATTTTTCTATAGAAAAAAAGACACCACAGGGACCTGAGGATTTTTTTTCTATAGAAAAGAGACACCTCAGTGACCTGAGAAATTTTTTTCTGTAGAAACGAGGCACCTCAGTGGCACTGAGGAATTTTTTTATGTAAAAAATTATCCTAAGGGACCTGAGTCTTATTTTTTCTATAGAAAAAGGTGACCTCAGGCACCTGAGTCATATTTGTTTTATTGAAAAAAGTCACCTCAGGGACCTGACACAAATTTCTTCTATAGAAAAAAGTCACCTCAGTGACCTGAGGAATTTTTTTCTATAGGAAAAGTCAGCACAGAAACCTGAGGAATTTTGTTACCTCAGGGACCTGACGAAATTTTTTCTGTAGAAAAAAGTTAACTCAGGGACCTGATGAATTTTTTTCTATAGAAAAAAGTCACCTCAGGTACCAGAGGCATATTTTTTCTATAGAAAAAAGTATCTTTAGGGACCTGAGGCATATTTTTTCTATTGAAAAAAGTGTCCTCAGGGACCTGTTACATATTTTTTCTATAGAAAGAGTGTCCTCAGGGAACTGAGGCATATTTTTTATAGAAAAAAGTGTCCTCAGGGACGTGTCGGCATTACTTTTATGGAAAAAAGTGTCCTTAGGGACATGTCGGGATTTTTTCTATAGAAAAAAAGTGTCCTAAGGGGCCTGAGACATATTTTTCTATAGAAAAAAGTCGCCTCAGGGGACCTAAGGATTTAAGGATTTTTTTTTGAAAAATGTCTCCTCAGTGACCTGATGAATTTTTTTATCGATAAAAGTGTCCGCAGAGACATGTCGGATTTTTTCCAATAGAATTTTTTTGTTTGGAATGGACCTGACCTGATTTTGTTCTCAGTCAACTGAGGAAATATTTCACACTTTCCTGCATTACAATACTGTGCGACTGTCGCTAGCAATTGTAACACTTTCTGAAAGCATTTGCTGCTGTTGTTGTTGGTTTTTTATATTTATTTGTTTTCTTGTGCAATACCATAATCCGACAATTAGACCTCTTTTTCATTTGTCTCTCAGTGACCACCACCACTGACAGACATTATGTAAATTACAAATTATCTTTGGCACTTGTTGTGGTTGTTGTTGATTTTTTCCCCACTTTTCTTTGACTCAAATGACAAACGGGAATTTCTCAATCTCAAATCAGTTTCTTTTTCTCTCTGCTTCGCTTTCAGTTTTCACAACTTCCCCTGGTGGATCACCAGCCTCTTAATCAAGAATCATTGTAGTGTGACCGTTTTTGTTTTATTTTTGTAACTGATCCGCATCAGCAATGAGTGTGTGTGGCTAGAGAGGGAAGTGGGAACACTCATACTTCCAGCTCGCAATAACAAAATTCCAATTGTCCAATGTGCCACACGCACACACAATACCCCCTCCTCCTCATCCTCTCAGCTCGAACACCTCATTTCTTTCCACTCAACATGGATCATAAATCTGCTGCTGAAATCGGTGGCATTTCTATATTTCTTTCCATCACTTTTCTTTAGCATTTACTTTTGATTTCATTTAAAACGGCGGATATTTGTTAATTGAATAAGTTATCAGAGCGTTATTTAGCGGATTATGGGAAGTTATAGGCTTAGACTGAGATTTTAGGGAAAAATGCTACTGAAGTCAACTAAGGAGACTTTTTTTCTGTAGAAGAACTTTATCTCAGAGTTCTTCGTAATTTATTTCTATAGGAAAATTCACCTTAGTATAAAACAAGTTACTACCGGGATCTTCGGATTTACCACATTTCAAAAAATCACCGCAGTGACCTTCGTAATTTATTTCTATAGAAAAAAGTCACCTCAGGGACTTGAGTAATTTTTTTCTATAGAAAAAATCACCTCAGGGCCCTGAGGAATTTTTTTCTATCGAAAAAAGTCAACTCAGGGACTTGAGGAATTTTTTTATATCGAAAAATACACCTCAGGGTCCTGAGGATTTTTTTCTATAGAAGAAAGTCACCTCAGGGTCCTGGGGATTTTTTTTAATAGAAAAAAGTCATCTCAAGGACCTGAGGATTTTTTCCAATAGAAAAAAATCACCTCAGAGATCTGAGAATTTTGTTTTTCAATAGAAAAAGTCACTTCTGGGACCTGAGGAATTTTTTTCTATAAAAAAAGTCACCTCAGGGAGCTTCAGTGAACTTACGAAATTTTTCTAATTTTACGAAATTTTTCTATTTTCGATTTTCTTCTATAAAAAATAGTCCTTAGGGAACTATAGAAAATAGTCACCTGAGGATCGCGACCATGTACTTTGTATACATTATGTTCCAAGTGACCTGGTAATTTTTAGATTTTTTGTTTGGATTTACTTGCCGAACATTTTGAAAACTTAAAACGCCAACAATGTATTCCACACATTACAATAGCCCCCATCACGGCTATTCAAAACTTTGCCGCGAACAACATCACAAAACGTTTAGAGGAGAGAGAACTTTAGAACAATGGAATAACATTTTCATTGTGGAAAACTTCAATAGCAGCTGCTGCTACTTAGACAAGACCATCAACAGCAGCAACAACAACAACCACAATAACAACAACAACATAACTATTATTTGTAGCTATCAGAATCTTAACCACACAAACACACACACACACAAACTTGGTGAAATAATCAATCTTTATGGCCAGCAGCACTTTAGAAAAGTATTGCACCACTCCAGTCAGCAGCTACCCCCACCTCTACCTCCACCACCAGCCATTATCCCCATCCATCCATTGTGACCACAGCGTCAAATCTTCACGTAGTTTGTCAGCTCATTATGTTTCAACTAAAAAGATATAATCCAGCAGCTACTGGTCGTGGTGCTGCATTCGGTGTTGTTGTTGTTGCTTCGGCTACTACTGACAGTTTGCCGGTCAAACGCTCAAATAGATTTCCCGCCTTTCTAGCCATTCGTAGATCTGTTGATTATTGGCTGTTGATTCAATCTTCGATTTCCGTTTGCTACTGTTTGAGCAACGGCAAGTGTTATTGCTGTTGGTTTTTTTTTTCTGTCGATATTTTTTCAATTTGTAAAATTGATAGACTACAAGAAAGGTATTGGGACTGGAGAATACCAGTATTGGTTTGGAAGAAAAAAATGAATATTGTTCCTGAGGAATTTTTTTCTATAGAAAAAAGTAATCCTCAGGGGTCCTGACGAATTTTATTATTCCTCACGTGTAATGAGGAATTTTTTTCTATAGAAAAAAGTAGTCCTCAGGGGTACTGAGGAATTTTTTTCTATAGAAAAAAGTAGTCCTCAGGGCGTCCTGAAAATTTTTTTTCTATAGAAAAAAATTGTCCTCAGGCGGTCCTGAGGATTTTTTTTCTATAGAAAAAAGTAATCCTCAGGGGTCCTGAGGATTTTTTTTCTATAGAAAAAAGTAATCCTCAGGGGTCCTGAAGAATTTTTTTCTATAGAAAAAAGTAATCCTCAGGGGTCTGAGGAATTTTTTTTATAAAAAAAAACAGTCCTCAGGATACTGAGGAATCTCTTTTCTATAGAAAAAAGTATTCCTCAGGGGTCCTGAGGAATTTTTTTCTATAGAAAAAAGTAATCCTCAGGGGTCTGTAATGAGAGATTGCTGCAGACACTGCTGAGTTTGTGACAAAAAATAAATTAGGAAATAAATCATTCTTAAAAAATAACTAAAGAAAAAAACAAAACAAAAATCCTCAGGCTACTGAGGAAAAATCTACCGGACACTATGGACCCCTTGTTCTATAAAAAAATAT